AATTTGGTACCTTGAGGTATACCTCCATTAAGACACTTAAACGAGGACATCTTATAGCGAATGCGAACTCATTGTTTCCTTCTCATCAAAAAGGCTCGAATCCATCCCACTACAGCGGGGCCGGGCGTACATTCAATGTCTCTAATTCAGTAATTAGGACACCGTGATCAACTAAATCGACAACCTCGTTCCCAGGCTAAATCGAAACCTTTACTAAAGTCAGCAAAAAATACGCGAGCCGAGGAACCACCTCGGTCAAGGGCTTCCAGGACATTACATGTAGTAAAAAGACTAATGCTTGTGTTGTAGAACGGCCTTTCATCGCGAACTGACATGGGTCAATCTGGTCGCCAATATATATCAGCCAGTAAGGGTTCCAAAGTAAAGCCTTCCATTACTTTGGCTATCTGCGGTGTCAGAGATATTGGACGAAGGTCGTCCTCAATTGTCTTGAGCGGCATACACTTAGGTATTGGGGAGACAATTGATGACTTTAGTAATTCGGGGATTTTTCCTTGTCTCAAAGTACTGTTATAAGTATCAGACACCACTGTGAATAATTCGAAAGCAAAGTCTCGAAGTATCCTATTAGGAATGTCATCAGGACCAACTGATTTATGACATTTAACTTCCTTCAAGGCACGATACTCTTTATATGTGTCAACGAGCATATCGGGTGTTCATTCGGCTTGATAGTTCGGATCGTCTTCAAGGGGTTTGAAATCTGATGATAAATTAACGAAAAAACTGTTAATGTTCTCAGCTAGTTCCTCTATTGTGCCGGTTGCCTCACCCATTAGTTGCTGACACCATTCCGTTTTGCTGGAACCATAGCCAAGTTTTCTAATTTCTTTCCACCATTTAGATACATCATAGTCTTTCATATTATGTACTTTATTTTTGTAATAGGACTGTTTACACGATCTTATCTCAGCTTGGACTTTATTACGCCAAAATTTAAAAAAAATGGGAATACTTCCCATACCTTACGAGAGATGTTTGTCTCTTTGATATAAATTGTTTTAGCTTGTTCGACACCCAAGGTTTATCATAGACGCTGATATTTTGCTTTTTTAAAGGGAAGTATGAATTAATAGCCAGCGTCCATTATCAGTTCACAAAAGATATTAAATTTATCTTGGCAATCTTCCTCATTAAAAACACCACTCCATGGATCATTGCATATCCATCTACCAAACGCTGGTACATTACTGTCCTTCATTTCCCTCTTATACACATGCCTTTCACGGATTACAGGATTTATGGCACTTGGGTTAATAAGTATCGAAAAGTGGTCACTACTACCTGAAACAACCTGTAGCGTTTAGGAACCTTTTGTTTATTCTCTTGTATGGATATTTGCCGATTCGTATGAAAGTTAAACTTTATTCAAATCCTATTAAAGAGATATCAATTACATATTACGTATAATAATATAGTTATCAACATAAACAAATACCAGTGTGTATAAGAGATACTCGACTCCAATATAAACTTACAAGTTGCACAATCCTGAATAATAATAACCCAATTGTCCCGCAACCATTAACCGTCACTTTAAACTATAAATAATGTAATATTTCCAACGTATTTTGTCCTTATATTTGTCCTGATTTCGTTTTACAACACATCAACAACTCGTGGTGTTTTCCGCTTAATTCACATCGTTCAAAATCCGATTTGGTTTCCAGTCCTACTAAACTATAACGCAACGTTTCACCCTCCCGCGCCACGGTTACAACTCTACCTCGGCCTCGCCAGCGCCGTGTCTGTTATCTCTTATTCGTCCCCCTCAACTGGATGGATGACAGCAATTTTCGTGATAGGTCGTGAATATTCACCCGTGGCTGTACGGACCTTTACATTTCGGATTCTTCCATCCGCACCTGGGTAAACTTCTGTGACACGAGCTATCTTCCATTTCCCACGTATGGCATTCTGGTCAGCAACCACAACGATATCATCTGCCTGAACATTTCTACATTTAGTATGCCACTTCCGTCGGGGAACCATGGATGGAAAAACATCTTGATACCATCTTTTCCAAAAATTGTCTACGATCCGCTGACAAAATTCATATCGATGGCGTGGATTTTTTGTTTCTCTGAAAGGGCCTTGGGGTGTGTTAGTCGATGCTCGGCCAAGCAGGATATCATTCGGGCAGAGGTATGTGCCGTCTGCAGGATCATTAGGAATGCGACCAATTGGGCATTGGTTCAGTAAGTTTTCCGCTTCGAATAATACTGTTTGACACTCCAAAGGAGCGAGAACTTGATCTCCGATCGATTTCTTGAGCGCTGCTTTGGTCACTCGAATAAGCGACTCTGCACATCCGTTGTGATGAGCGGCAGTTGGTGTAATAAATTTCCATTCCATACCCTTCTCGTGTAGGAAATCTTTCAGTTCTGTGGTATCTCTTCCCTCAATGGCTTTCCGTAACTCGGCTTCGGCCCCTACTAGTTGACTTCCTCGGTCACTCCACAGACAGCGTGGATAGCCCCGGATGCAGAAGAATCTTCTCAGTACGGGTAAAATACCAGGAGTCGATTAATCCGTTGCAACGTCAATGTAAACAGCTCTGACGTTCAGACATGTAAACAAGACACCCCAATATTTGTCGGTCTTGTTTCGGCCAACTTTGACTTTGATAGGACCAAACAGGTCGACAGCTGTATAAAAAAACGGTGGTGTGAATGGTGCAAGTCGATATGGTGGGAGGTCTGCCATCATTTGTATTTCGTTTTTCTGTGCCCTCTGCTGACAGAAGACGCACTTGAATTTCACACTCTTCGCAATGTGGTGTACGCCGACGATCCAGAATCTTTTCCGTGTCTTTGCTGCGGTTGCCGCTACGCCGAGATGTCCATACTGGTGTGCTCGTCTTACGATTAGGGTAGATAGCCAGTGACAACGTGGAATAATGGGTGGATGTCGCGTCTCATATGAAACTGGTGCGTTCTCAATTCGGCCTCCGACGCGGATGATACCATCATCATCAATGAATGGTGCCAGATTTCTGAATTCATTCTTCTGGATTAAGGGTTTTATCGCTGACTGTGCATCTTTAACTAGAACCGTTTCTGCTTCCTCCAATTCAGCGACTGTCAATGCGCCAGACAGACGTTGATAAGTTGCAACTTTCCTTGCTTTGCAGTTGTGGATAAACCTCCGGATTACCGCCAGGACTCGAACTGCCCGCCTGTACTTGGAGAATCGCTTGGTAAACTGCATCAGGGGACAGCAGGCTGGTAAATTAACAACAACATTGACTTTACGGCATTCGATAAGCATGTCATTTGCATCATTGTCCTGACTCAGTTGCATTGATGGCCACTGATCTTCTGGCTGAAGAAGAAAGGCTTCTCCGTGTTTCCAGCGACCGGACAGACTTTCGACACACAAACCTCGGGTTACATCGTCTGCAACATTTAAATCAGTTGAACAATAACGCCAATCTGCTGGGTCTGATTTAGCCTTGATTTCGGCAACACGCACGGAGACAAAGACTTTGAAGGAACGTGTTTCATTTTGAATCCAAGCTAAAACAATCATGGAATCACAGAAAAATATTGTCTTCTCAAACTCCAAGCGGCATTCACTTCGGATAGTATGATTGAGTCTGCAAGCGATTACTGCTGCTTGCAGTTCAAGTTTTGGCATTGTTAATTCCTTCACTGGAGCGACTCGCGACTTTGCCATGATGAACCTAACTGCAAAGGAACCATCCATCAATCTCCACCTTATGTATGCCACCGCTCCAAATGCCTTTTCTGAAGCATCACTGAAAATTATTAGGATTGGCTTTCCCAACACATCTTCTGGGGTCAAGCATCGTTGAAAGGTAACATCTTTAAGCTTTGATAAGTTGTCAAACCATTTGTACCAGTTGTCTTTCACTTGTTGGGGTAGATCTCGATCCCACTCATATCCTCCCTTCCACAGCTCTTGAATACCAAAGGGGCTGCAAATCCAAATACATCGAATATCCCGGAGATTATGCTCAACACCATCCGCTTTGTCAGTTTAATTGGCCTTGTCCACTCTACACCATCAACTTTACAGGCCATAAGAACTTTGGGGTTGTTTACTGATACAGACAACAAATCCAACTCTCGATTCCAGGCCACTCCCAGGACTTTCTCTTCTGATATAGTGGTTCCTTCAGGAGTGTTTTTTTTCCATCTCACTGGTACTTTGTGCACTGCAATGTGGTCCACGGGACGACTTTCTGATAAATCTGCATTAGAAATCCATTCTTTGATCTTGAAGTGTCCTGTACTGAGAACGTGATCAATCTCATTCGTACGTTTAACAGCTTCACCAATCGAGGTAACTGAGTCGGCAATGTCATCCATGTATCGACACTCTTTGATGGTTGTTGCTGCGTCTGGGTAATTTTCAGCATTCTCTTCAGCTGTGAGATCCATTGCTGTATTTGCCATGGGTGGAGCAGGCTTATCACCGAACGTGAGAACTGTTTTAACATAAATGTCTGGTTCACGGTTTTCAAAACTTCGCCAGAGGAACCGATGGGAATGTGCATCTACAACAGGATCAACAAGAACTTGATGGTACATTTTTGAGACATCCCCTAAGATTGCAACATAATTTTCCCGAAATCTTAAAAGGACTCCAACTAAATCATTGAGGAGATCTGGCCCTTTGAGCATGTATTCATTGAGAACATGACCATGGTATTTCGCGGCAGCGTTAAAGACAACGCGACAAGGAGTGGACTTCTTTTCTAGTTTGATAACGGCGTGATGGCTGATGTAATGCACTGGACCATTATGTTGTTCTATGTCCCTTTGCGTGAGCTTCTTTGCGTGGCCATGTTTTTCCATTTCCAATATTTGATCATCATACATTTTTGCATTTTCCTTGTTCTTTAAGAGCCGCTTTTCAATACTTTCCAATTTAGCCAAAGCTTGTCTATAGTTGTCCGGAAGTTCATTTGGATCCTTTGCCCATGGTATAGGGATCATCCATTGTTTTCCGACCTTTACAGCACTGTCGCGAATAATCTTCGCCTCTTCCTTCTCGATAGAGCTAAGCAGTTTCTCCCCTGGCGTTCTCTTGGTGTAGCAAGGGTTCACTTCTACCCCCATTTGCTCAGTGGACCAGAAAGAAGTTAGATCAACTGGGTCATTAAGTCGAACAAGATGGATGCGGTTTACTGAACATAAACCATCGGGACCGGCTCCAAAAACTACCGCCCTAAGAGGGGATTGCCGCACAGCAAAATTTCCATTGACTAGCGTGTTGCGACCGTGGAGTCGAGCATGGTCGATGCCGATGAGGATGTCTACTGCTCCAGAACCCCGGTGAAGTCGCTTGGCGTCAATCTTGAACAACTTTGCATACTTCTCAATACGAACCGCCCTGACGTTTTCACTTATCAGAGGGATAGCTACGGCTTTCAACGCGAATTTCGGGCCACCATCAAGGGAACGAATCTGGAGAGTGTAGATCTTAGTTTGCAGCAACTCTTCGGTCCCCGCAACTTTACTTATACGGACGCCAATGCTCTCACCATGCAATCCTAGGTTTTGGGCAAATTGTTCTCTGATTAAAGTTAATTGAGATCCTCCATCAAACAGGATATTTGCTTTAGCTTTCCGTTTGGATATAGCATTTATTGCACTGACTTCCAAGGTTGGGAGCAGGCTTTCTCCTCCTGCAATGACAGATACATTGTTATTGGACATTCGCTCAAATGGCGCTCCATGGAGCAAGGGGTGATGACTGAACTTGCATGCTTCACCGTCTCTTAACAACGTGCACTTTTTCTTTCTTCTACATGGGTTGCGATGAATTTTTAAACAAAAGTAACATGCATGAGCTTTCCTCACCTCTGTAAGACGAACAGTAGGGGTCATACTCAGAAACCGTTGGCATGTGTCCAACTGGTGGGGCTGTTTGCATAACCAACAATGCTGAAACGTTGGTTGTGGTGGTGGTGGTGGTTGTGGTGGTGATTGGTTGCCCTCACCTAATACTTCACCTGGATTCTCAGTCCTTGAATCGAGTTTGTCCGTGCTGGTACCCTTCTCACCTTTCAATGCGATGGTATTTACTGAGCCTTTGTTGTCAGCACTTCGAGAAATTGTTCTCTGGGAACGAATGTCGGCTCCAGCAATCTTTCTCTTTCGTACTTCCTTCTCCATCCATTTTAGAAAGTTTTCAATTTTTGGAGTTACCCCCTTTTCTTCTTGGTAATCTGCCCACTTTAGACGGTCATTCCTTGATAATTTTTTCTCCATGGCACTCAGTGTTGTTGTATTATCCAAATCTCCGGGTCGATTCAGTTTCGTCAGCATGCTGAATATCTTCTCAATTAAAGCATGATACTGAACAAAGTGTGCATAGTCAAATTCATCCACTGGCTTTACTTTCTCCAAGTCAGACAGCAGGACATCAGAAACAATTCTCGGGTCGCCATACTCTCGGTCTAATTTTTCCCATGCAGCATCGTAGTCCTCCTTGCATTTTATCAGGTCGGCACTGCTTTTGTCCAGGCAGCTACGAAGAACATAAAGGGCTTCCTGAGTTGTGTATTGCTTTTCCACCAAAAATTTGAAATCTCTACGAAAGTCCAGATAATTTCGAACATTTCCATCAAATTTAGGAAGCGGTGCTCTCTCTGTTCTCAATTTCATGGAAGTTGGACTGGGTGAGGGTGCAGCATAAGTGGAAAAATTAGTTGCGGCAGCTTGGTTGTCAGGTGATAATTCCAATGTAACAGTGGGTTCCGTCTCCCCTGGTGGTACAGATTCTGCAGTCTCATTAATGCCTGATCCAGATGGTATATTTGTGTTGTTTGGGTCCACATCGACATCCTGAGAGCTGGCTGGATTTTCCACTTTATCGGTTGTAATATTGTTCTTCGGAGCCATGGTTATTTTATAATCATTTATCATTATACAAATAGCATCATATTCTTTTGACACATCTTCCATCCATTCTTCTTCCTGTTCATAATCCTTTTCTTCTACAAGTATTGCAAATCCTTCATGCTTAGATAGTACTCTCTCATAGGCTGTTTCAAATATGCCACCTGCTTTGACAACTTCCGGTTCGGGCCGTCCTTGTTCGATTAGCCGTTGGATGGATTTAGCACTACGGGTAAATGATGATTTAGCAATAGTTCTTGCCTTTTTCGCTTCATTCATTATTACCAATAAACAAATGACGATGAATGTATATTTAGGCTTGACAATTGTTACCAAATGTTCCTCTACAGACTGAAATCTTAATAAATAATATAATTCTCCTTGATTTGAATGGTGAAACAACCTGTAGCGTTGGCATATTGTAAACACTGGACTGGACTTTGGACTATGGACTTTGGACTATGGACTTTGGACTTTGGACTTTCGATTTTGAAATTATATTTTTAAGATTTTCGTATAATTATATTTGTGCATGATATAATATTCAAGGTAAAAAATACTATCAGTTATATAGGTATACCAGTGCAATTTCATAGATATAGCCTGTGGGATAACAGGATCATCTCAGTAATATTTTTAATTTAATATTTAAATTTTATTATAATATTTGTATTTATAGTATGTATAGTACAGTTTATACTGCAGAACTTCTTCTTTATCGTATAGATTTATCTAATAATAGATTTATCTAATAATAGATTTATAGAAACAATTGTGACAAAAGTAGCTTGGCAAATACAAAATATTGAGAAACTAGCACGTATAAGTATAAACTACACGCGATTATTATTGCGCCTTTGGCTTTGAACAATTATTCGCCAAGGCGAGGCCGTGATTATCGGGGAATTTCTGGTCTGCCTCGCAGCCGCTAGCCTACGGTGTAGACCCCAGCAGAAACACGTTTCGTGAGGGGTCTACGAATAAACGAAGAAAAGCTTGCCCGGCCTACGTCATATCCGTTTTGCGTTTTGGGTAAATTAACTTCAATTTATTCAAATTTATGACGTGTGCGCGCTTTATATTAAAATGTTTCATGGTGGGCTTTGTGCAATAGAAATGTGGTCTTTGCTTCAACGTCCCGTCGAATGAAAGCGATATTAATTTCTTGGACAGCAAGGAGAACATACGTAAGGATAAGTTAGACAACCTTTCCTTCTCCATTTTACCTGTAAATAGTATTTGTAAAGCCTGTTTGGCGTTGGTAAACAAACGGAGAAGCTTCAAAGAACGGTTATGTGAACTAGACAATACGATAACGAACGTGCACGAAACAGCATTAAACGCTATTGGTATACCGCTTAAAGTAAAGCGAAATGTCGTGAGGAAACTGGGATTCGAGCCAACTTGAGATAAAACGTTTATGCCCGCTACATTTAGCGTGAAATCAACGTTGTCTTCGACTGCAGAAATTGTATGTCTTGACAAGCTTCAACAGTCTAACAGGTTTGTACGAATGACAAGAATTTTTTGAAGTAAACATGCACTTACAACAAATCGTGTTAAAATATACCCTGACTATATGCATATACCCAACTATTAAACACATGTCCGAACGGACTAAAAATGTTCTTGTCATTCATACAAACCTGTTAGGCTGTTGAAGCTTGTCAAGGCATCCAATTTCTGCAGTCGAAAACAATGTCGATTTCACGCTAAATGTAGCCGGCGTAAAAGTTTTATCGCAAGGTCGGCTCGAATCCCAGTTTCCTCACGAAATTTCGCTTTACTTTAAGCGGTATACCAATAGCGTTTAACGCTGTTTTGTGTGCGTTGGTTATCGTGTTGTTTAGTTCAGATAACCGTTCTTTGAAGCTTCTCCGTTAGTTTACCAACGCCAGACAGGCTTTACAAACGCTATTTGCAGGTACAGTAAAATGGAGAAGAAAAGACAGGAAAGGTCGTCTAACTCCTTACGTATGTTATCCTTGCTGTCCAAGAAATTGATATCGCTTTTATTCGATGGAACTTTGAAGCAAAGAACACATTTGTATTGCGTAAAGCCCACCATGGTCCATGAAACATTTTAATATAAAGCGCGCACACGTCATAAATTTGAATAAATTGAAGTTAATTTACCCAAAACGCAAAACGGATATGACGTAGCCAGGCAAGCTTTTCTTTGTTTATTCGTAGACCCCTCACGAAACGTGTTTCTGCTGGGGGTCTACACCGTAGGCTACGCAGCCGCCCGTTGTGTACGTTCTTTCTGATGTCTGCAAAGGAGGCGAGGGAATTTGTCAAATTTGTCCAATCAACTTGACAACTTGTAGGATTTGTTATATATTTATTCACTTGCGCAAAAATACTAATAGTACTAATGACGGTATTGTTCATCTTTGCATAATAGTTTACACCGGTTTAGCGCCTGCCTAAATAGGCTGTGTTTACAATGTATTTTGTCTGTGTCAGTTTTAGCTTTTCATAAATGTTTCAGCCATACTGAACACGAAAACTCTCATAGTCATCATACTTTATAAAATACGAATGTATGATACATGCATTATTAATTCGGGTAGTACTGATTACTTTATGATAATCTACTAGGCTATATAGTGTTACTTTATGTATATATTTATGTATATATTATTGTCTATATATATGGCTCTTTTGCGTACGTTATGCGGCTGAGCATTAATCTTTATAGGCCTACTACGATTACGATTCCCGCCTGGTTCATCACTTGCAAGTGGTAGTATTACAGTAAACGTGGCAAATAGTTGCTAGACTACCTGAAGCACATAGACATAGATTTTTGCCTTCTCACACACAACAGAGTAGGTCTTAAAAAGTGTGTAAATTTCCGTTCGAATATTCCTGTCCATCTACTAACACTTATTAATAATAACTGAAGCACTTAGTCTTAGTGATAAGGATAGCTAACTAGAATGTCTTTCAAAAATAAGTAACATTAACAAAACGTTACTGTGTAACGGAGTAAACAATTACACAATTCAGTACTAGTATAAACTATTATGCAACGATGAACAGTCACTATACTCAATGCTCAATAGGCGCAATAATAATCACTTGTATAGTTAATATTTTGTATTTGCCGAGACACTTTTGTCACATTTGTTTCTGCCGGACAATTAATCTATTATCTATATAATAAAGAAGAAGTTCTGCAGTATAAACTGTACTATGCATACTATAAATAAATCCCAAAATATTGGATAATCCTGCTATCCTACAGGCTATATCCGTATGAAATTGCACTGCTGGTATACCTATATAACTGATACTAGAGATTTTTTACCTTGTATATTATATCATGCATGTGCATGCAGTATAGCACGCTTTTCAGCAGCAAATTTTTGTTCTCTGTTTAGATTTTAATATAATTATACGAAAATCTAAAAAAACATATAATTTCAAAATCGAAAGTCCAAAGTCCAAAGTCCATAGTCCAAAGTCCAGTCCAAAGTCCATAGTCCAAAGTCCAGTCCAAAGTCCATAGTCCAAAGTCCAGTCCAAAGTCCAGTCCAGTGTTTACAATATGCCCTGTAGCGTTTAAGGAACCTTTTGCTTATTCTCTTGTATGGATATTTGCCGATTCGTATGAAAGTTAAACTTTATTCAAATCCTATTAAAGAGATATCAATTACATATATCCCGTAATAATAATATAGTTATCAATATAAACAAATACCAGTGTGTATATAAAGCGATACTCCATTCCAATATAAACTTACAAGTTGCACAATCCTGAATAATAATAACCCAATTGTCCCGCAACCATTCACCGTCACTTTAAACTATAAATAATGTAATATTTCCAACGTATTTTGTCCTTATATTTGTCCTGATTACATTTTTAACACATCAACAACTCGTGGTGTTTTCCGCTTAATTCACATCGTTCAAAATCCGATTTAGTTTCCAGTCCTACTAAACTGTAACGCAACGTTTCAAAGCATACACACTCATATATGAAGATGTAAACATATACGAAGTATAGTAATAACAAAACACATTGATATATGAAAATGTAAACGTATGTGAGGTAATAAGGATGAAAATATCTGTTTATTTTCACCATACGCACGATGTGCACGGATCGTACGGATTTATAGTGGCCAGGCCCGGGCATCAATTGCATGATTAGTGTTTGTTGCACTGTTGGAGGTGAACATGCACAGCTTGAGGTTTTTTACCATGTGTTACGGATCGTGAGGTACATTTACGATCTGTGTCATATAGTGATTGTTTGACCATGTGTTACGGATCGTGAAGTATATTCACGATCTGTGTTGCATCGTGATTGTTTCACACTTTCACCATGTGTTACGGATCGTGAACTATATTCACGATCCGTGGCCCATCGTGATATTGGACATGTATGACGACATTTTGATTGGATACTAAATATAAGCTTCGTTGTGAGTGGAAAGCTATCGGATTAAGGTTTGTGTTGTTGTTCTGTTTGCAGTTTCTTTTGAGACGTTCCTGTTGCATTTTTTAAAATGTTTTACCTTTTATGCTTGTATGCATTTTTTCTGTCCCTGCCCTCCCCCCTTCACGTTTCTAATCGCCCATGTTTACGAGAACACGCACATTTTCTATTGGGATACGCCCATTTTAGGTGCCTCGAGCATTTAGCTAGGACCCCTAGGCGTGGGCCCCAGAGGTGTCAAGTAACGAAGTAAATGTACTTCGTTACTGTACTTGAATACTATTTTTGAGAAGTTGGCATGTAACAATTAAACTTTTTCTGGTGTACTTTTACTTGGAACGAAGTCGTTTAAAGAAGTAACGTTTTACTTCCGTTATTTTCATTTTGTGGCGAAGTATTTCGTTACTTTCTCACATTTGTTTAATTTTACGTGATTTATTCTATTTATTTTAATTTTGGGATAGGTAATAGGACCTCTACATGCGTCTGGGTCTCTCGTTTGTGGCTTGAGTAACTTCAACGGGGTCTGGAAAGTAGACCATGCCGTGAAATAATTGTATATTATAGTGCGCGAATATAATGCGAGTGCTGTTTTGTGTCTTTTAATAATTTTGTATGTCAATCCATTCGAGAAAAGCCGCCCCCTTCCTACACGCTATAGTACTTTTACTTTGTACTTCAAGTATTTTTTAAGGATAATTCGTACTTTTTTACTTAAGTACGTTTTGCCTCCAGTACTTTTTACTCTTACTCAAGTCCTTTATTGTTAGTTACTTCTACTTTTTCTCGAGTACAAATTCAAAGTAATTTAGGCACCACTGGGCAA